CGGTCCACCTGCTGAAAGGGAAGCAGGAGAGAGGGAGGGGTAACCACACGAAAGAATGCCGCCAAGAAATTTACAAATAGCTCACCACACCAGAAAGGACCAGTCCAACTTAAAAAAGAGGGAAATTCCATTGACAGTGTCATCACAAAAGATATAAACTACCTAGAAAAACCTATCGAGGATGACGCGACCCCATGACAAGAAAACTGACACTGCATGGAAGGGCGCTGTTTAGGGGCTGAGTACTCGACAGGCTGCACCGTGTTTCTCAGTGGAACTCAAAACAGTAGAGACACCAACCCTTCCCAGTCGCATGCCCGTGACCTTGCAATCAAACTTTAAGAGTCTTGTTCTGAGCCTGGACACGCGGAAGCCCTTTCACATGTAAGAATACATTGAAAGAAGTAACAATGACTTTTTAAGAAGAATAGTCTTGCGGGGGGGAGGTACCGTATTTTAACTCAAATGATGCATGCCTTAAATGTTTTTTTGCAAACTTCGTAACCCCATGATGCATTAATTTCCTACATATGCTATGCACATCATATGCACATGCACACATTTCCATGGGTACCTTATATGCGAAAACTCCGGTACTTGCCTTACTAGTTATTGACTATACTGTAAAGCTGCTTACAGCCAAACAGTGTGGTACTGACTGGCAATAAAACTGAGCGGTGGCTGTCCAATGAGGGCTGGGCAGAAACATCCCGAGGAGATGTGGGAGTGTGTGGCATCATAAAGGTGGCGTTTTAATCGATGGAGGAAGGATGGGGTATTTAGTATGTGTCAGTGAGAATACTGGCCCTCAACTTGGAAAAAACCTGCACTGCCTCCTCCATCGTAAACTAACTCCAGGTGGACTGAACAGCTGGAAGCAGTGACCAGAGCTGTCAAAAGTTTAGAAGGAAATGGAGACTGTTTTCATAATATGAGACTTGACAAGCATCTCCTGAGATGGGTTGCCCAGACCCCATAAAAGAACAACCAGACACACTTCACCACAGCAACATTTAAAACACGCATGGACGGACAGCAGACACATCACAGGCAGCAGACGGCACAACACATGTAACACGGGAAAGATCCACGTCCCTAACACCGGAGGGCTTAATCCCAAGAAAAAGACAAACATCCCAACCGAAGGATGGGCAAAGGTGTGGCCAGACGGTCACAGAGGAAACACAGAGGGCTGCTCGACAGAGACCAGGACGCGCCACCTCGCCAAGCTTCCGCAGCTGAACGTGAGAGCGGGAATTTCCGTGTCTTCCAGACTGGCAGCAGTGCCTGCAGCTGGCAGACCTGTCGCCGGGCAGGCTAAGGCTGTTCCAGCTTTGCTCCATGTCTCAAGGTCAATCAGCCCGGGAGAACCGTCCTCTGACCGGCCACGCATCAGGGTCCACTCCGTGACCACCGGTCAGTCTCACACTGTCTGGGAGCTGCTCACCCACCTCCCGGGAGCAGCGCCTGCACAGTCGCTCACGCCCATCAGGACGGGAGGACGGGGTGATGGAGACCAAGCCCTAGGGGTGCTGGTAAGGGACAGCCAAGTGAAGTGTGCTTCATTCACTGGGGCAATAGTCAGCCAACAGTGCAAACCAAGGGCCAGCCGGCTGTGCAGGCCGGGGAGATGCCCTCGGTGGACCAGGGAGTAGAAAGAGCCCCGCTGGCAGGTGACCCGTGCTCACCGCGGAGTGCGCAGTTTCACCTCCAGCAGGCGCTGGGCCGGCACTGCACCCAGCTGGGTCGCCTCTGGACGGGACACAGGGTTAGCAGATCCGACTCAGAGGTGCTGCCCCACGATGGGGGTGTGGGGGCTTTCACTTCTAATTTTATCTTTTCACGGAGATGGGAGAAGTTTGCTCCTTTTTGTATCTTTGAAGGCCTCTCTCAAGCAATAAATTAACCACACACAGATTCATACCAAGACCGGCTGACTCCGCCAGCTGAGGGAATGGCCAGTCCGCCTTCTGTCTGGTCCCCTCAAGACGCCCTGGGGCCTTGTTTCTAAGGGTCTTCACAGGCTCCAACCTCCTGCCTCCTCTGAACCCGCAGCTTCTCATCACCTCCTCCCCCGGGGAGAGTGGCAGCTTCCAGGTCACCCCACGAACGGCCCAGCCCTCCTCTCCCCAAAGCACGGGACACAGGCCGAGGGTAGCACACTTTACTGAGGGGGGTACATTGCAGAGCTGCAGAGCAGACAGAAGACTGGACGGAGGCCCTCTAAGGAGAAGTCCCTCAGTGTTCCCACCGGCAGGCAGGTGACACTGGTCTCAGGTGAGACACTGCAGCCCCTCCCACTCCCTAATCCCACTCCAGGCTCTGGCAGAGGACACCCAAGGCTGGCGCCAAGAGGAACCATTTCTTTTCTGAGGAGCATGGGTGACAGTGTGGCCCTGGGTCCGAGCGGCGCCCCAGCCTGGGCCAGCAGCGGAGTGTGGGAGAAGAGCAACTGGACCACGGCCCAGGGCAGGCCCGGGACACTGCAGGCACGAGGCTCTGGCAGCCACGTCCCCAGCGCCCAGGGAGAGTGCTGGAAGCCCCGCTGAAGAGGGGGGGTCAAGGGAACGCACCTGCAGGGGTCCTCCCCGCCCCTCCACGTTCCAGCCCTGTTCCAACCTCCCCTTCCAGGACTGGCCTTGGGACCCTGCCCAAGCTCCACCCAACTTGAGCCGGGGGTCTAGTTAAGAGGCTGAGCCACTCATCCTTGCTGGGCGCAGGCCCCAAATCTGGTCACCCAGGGTCTGAGAGGGAGAGCGGGAGGAGACTTACACACGGACACGTGTGAGTGCACACACACGTGAGGCTCTGTGACATCCAAGGGTGTGTGTGGGCTGGGGTGCGCACATGCATGTGTGTGCGTGTGTGAGTCCCAAGCAGTGTGTGCTTGTCTGTGTGACGGTGGGGTGTGTGTGCTGGTGCTGTGTGACATCAACGTGGAGGGTGTATGCATGAGAGCCTGGGAGTGAGTGTGTAGACACAGGTGTGCATGATACTGGCAGTGCAGATGCGTGTGCACACTGGAGTGTGCTGGGTGGTATGTGTGTGTCCACTGTGTGCACGGGGGTGTGCTGGGTGTGTATATGTGCACACTGTGGACTGGCAGTGCTGAGTGTACACTGGGGTTGTGCATGTGCACTGGGGTGTGTTTTGAGTGTGTGCATTGGGTGGGCACTGGGTTTGTGTCACTGAGGGGTTGCTGAGGGGATATGCACTGGGCCTGCCCACTGGAATGATGTGTACTGGATGTATGTGCATGCTGAGGAGGTGTGTGTGCCAGGGTGTGCCCTGGAATGCCTTGGTGATGTGAAAGCTGTGTGTGCACTAAGTTTGGGTGTGGTGACTGTGTGTGCACATTGGGACGTGCACTGGGAAAGACATGCTAGTTTGTGCACAGGTGTATGTGCACTGAGTGTGTGTATGCATGACAATGGGTGTGTACCCTGACTTGTGTACTGCATGTCCACACTGTGTGTGTGCACATTTGGGGCTGTATGTTGGGGTGCATACAGTGTGCACACTGGGTGAGTATGCACTGGGTATATGTGCACCAGGGATGTGCACACTGTGTGTGTTGGGTGTGCTGTGTAATGGGGGTGTGATCTGGATGTGTGTGCTCTGAGTGTGTGCATGGGGAGGTGTTGTGAGGTCTGTTCTAGGGATGTGTGCATTGAGTTTGTGTCCACTCGGTGTATGTTTGCATAGGGTGTGCACACACTGCTGGGTGTGTACACTGGCTTGTGCACTGAATGTGCACACTGGGTGTGTGTACTGAGTCTGTGTACACTGAATGTGTGCAAACTTGGGTTGTGTGTGCTGGAGTGTGTGCTGGGGTGTGTGCACCAGGGGTGTCACAGTTTGTGTGTGCTGTGTGGTGAGTCTGTGCACTGAGCTTGTGTGTGTGCTGGGCTGTGCATTGGGAAGTATTGTATTAGGGTATGCACTGGGGGTGTGCATTGAATCTGTGTACACTGGCTGTGTGCACGCTTGGGGTTGTGTGTGCTGGGGTGTGCACTAGATTGTACTGAATGTGTGCACTGGGTCTGTGCATCAGGGGTGGTGTGCACACTGTGTGTGCTGTGTAGTGGGGATGTGTACTGAATGTGTGTGTGCATGCACACAAGGGGTGCTCACTGGGAGGTGTGTGCCTTGGGTGTACATTGGGGTGTGTAAATTGGTTTCCTTGTGTACACACTGTCAGTGTGCACTGGGCTGTCACTGGGTTTGGGCATGCACTGGGGGTATATCCACTGGGAGGTATGTATCCTGGAGTGTACACCGGATGTGTGCACTGAGTTTCTGGGTGTGGTGAGTGTGTGTGCACTGGTGTGTATACTGGGGTGTGTGTACTTATGTGCACACTGGGTGTATTTGTGTTTGTGTGTATTTCTGCATGTGCTAGTGTAAGTCTGTGTTCAGGAGTGCCCAGTGCTCACACACAGTGCTGACGCCTCCACCTTCTGGCCCCTCCCCAGACTCTTGTTCATCTCAACCCCCTGCCCCCCCAGATGCCCCCAAACCTTACCAGGCTGAGTCCCCTGGCTGCCGGTGGCCCCGCAGCCCCAGAACCCTGTGCACTGGAGCCTCATGTCTCACGTGACTGCTGCCCAGCCCCCTCCAACGCTCTCAGCCTCCACCGCCTACTCCCGACCCAGCCCTCCTGCACTGGGCCCAGGCTCAGATCCCAGCCTCAGGACACAGAGGTGACTTTATTTCTCCATAGAAGATGCCCTTCCGGCCAGGCTGCTGGTCTGGGGCTCAGACTCACTGCCCCTCAGAGACGAGCCCTGCCTTCTTCCTGGGCCTCTGCCTGGACACCTGTCCTGCTGCCAGGGACTCAGGGCTATTGGAGAGATGGGGACCTCCTCCTCTTGGGGAGGGACAAGAACCACAGGTATGGGGCCAGCCCAGGCTGCCCCAGCCCCAGCCGGGCCAGGCTGGAGAGGGGGCAGGGGTAGGCTTGGGGGACACACTCAGAAGCCCTGCAGGAGGGGAGAACCTCAGGGCCCAGCCCAGAGGAGGGCGGGCCCCAGGCTGAGCAGGAGCCCCCCAGCCAGGGCCCAGGGGCTACCCCCAGCCCCCGACACCCCATTGCACAAATCCTTCTCACAGCAGTCCACATCCACTTTCAGGATCCCCGAGTTGATGAATCCCATCACATAGTCTGAGAAAAAGTGTCGCTTCACGAAGTCACAGGACGAGGCACACATCTTGTTCACGGAGTGGTCCTTCCTGCCTGGGAGAGAAGGGGGCTGGGCCGCAGGACACACTGGGCCCTCCGCCACGTCCCCAGCGCCCAGCCGGGGCCCTCCAGGCCAGCCGAGGAGCCACCCCCAACTGCACAGAAAGGGTCACCGAGGGGCCTGGAAGGGTGCCCCCTGCCCCTGGCCGGAGGCCCAGGGCAGCCCGCCCTGACTCACTGCTGCTGGGGTCGGTGATGCGGATACTAGCGCACACAGTGTCCGTGGCCAAGCACTTCTTGAGGGTGCAGCGGCTGGAATTGGTGGTCAGCGTGCAATCCTGGCACCACAGGCCATAAGCTGGACAGAGGCGGGGGGCGTGAGCAGAGGGGCCGCCAAACCCGTGGCCCTCACCCGCCCGGCCTGCCTGCTGCAGCAGCTGCAGGGGCCCAACCAGAGGTGGGGGAAGTCTTGCGTCCACCAGGATACCCAGGGGTGGGCCCCGCAGGGACCCTGGGAACCCCGCCCTGCAATTCTCGCGGCACCACTCCCACCTCCCACCTCGGGACCCCCCCTCCCACCTCGGGACCACCTCACCCCCCACCAACCCCCCCACCCCCGCTTTCAGGGCTTCCTAGCCAGCAGGGGTGCACAGGACTTTGGCACTTTGGGAAGGCTGGTCCCAGCGCACAGCCGGCCACCTGGAGAGTGAGGCCTTCGTCCTGGCCCGGAGGGGGGAGAGTGCCTTCAGGCGCCAAGAAGGACCGTGTGGGGAGCAGAGGGGGCCGACCAGGGGAGGGCCGGACTGGGGTCGCGGGCGCGGCCTCGGCTCCCATCGGAAGCCCCCGCCGCAGCCTCCCTCCCGAGCGCCCTCGCCCCCGCCCCGCAGACGCCCCCACTCACCGGGCGCCGAGCACAGCAGGGCGGTCAGCAGCGCGAGGCAGAGACCCTTCATGACGGCGAGCGGCAAGCTCGGACAGGCCTGGGGGAGGGGCGGCGAGCGGGTCCTTGGGGCGCAGGCCTGGGGGAGACGCGGCATCAGGGGGTAGCTAGGCCCCACCAAGCTCGGGGCGCTCCAGGCCCTCCCCTTCCTCCCCCCGAATCCAGGGGCGTCGGCCTGCAGCGCCCCAAGTGCCACCGCAACCTGTGCCAGGGAGCCCAGCGTCGCAGCATCCCGCCGGGAGAAAAGGTCAGCCCTCGGGCGGCGACCCCCATGCCCCCCACCCGGGCCTGGGCGTCAAGTGCTGGGGGCGGGGCTCCCTGCCCCGGGGGCCTGAGGGTGCATGGAGAGGCGCAGGTGGGCGCAGGCCCTACCTGACCATGGGGGAGGGGCGCGCCAAGTGGCACCCCACCGCTGGGCTGGGGGTGCTGAGAGCCCCCGCTCCCGGCCCGGTCTGGGCGCTCACCGCGGGTCGGGGCGTGCAGCGCGGGCCTCGGGCTCGGGGCGCACTCACATCCCTCGGGGTGTCCGCGCTGGGGGGCTCCGGCAGCGGCGCGCGAGCTTGCCCTTCTGTCTCCCTGCGGACTGGAACCCCGCGCAGCCTCGTCTTTCGGGGGACGCAGCCGCAGACGCGGACCCCAAGCGAGGGGCGAGGGGTGAGGGGCGGGGTGCAGGGAGGGGGCGCGGGCC